ACAATAGTGGTGAATTTGATATTTGAATTTGTACTTAAGGTACATCTCATATTGTGATGATTTATGGTATTTGAAAAGTATTATTACACCAATATACTTGTTTGTTTGTGCATCATGAAATGTATTATGTGTTTTATTAGAATGAATATGCTGTGATGTCCATATCTTTAATAATCATCTATTTTATTATGTGTTCCATACTAAATTCTGAAGGCCTTGTATAGAGGTGTGAATAGTGGCAAAATATCATTGTGTAGCAAACTTTTAAGTTACTGCTCGGTTAGGTTCTTATGTTTTTGGATTGTACAAAGTTATATATGAATTATTGGAAATTAATGTGTGGTGCAAAAACTGAATACATTTAGAGAGACAGGTTCTTTATTACAAAATTATGTTTTCTGTATAGTCAGCATTATAATTTCTTTTGAGACATTTAGAAATTGTTACTTATTATATGATCCTTTCTTGTTATATTATATGTATTATTATTATTTCACAGTGCATGAAAAATTAAAACCTTGAATAAATTAAACTGTGCTACAGCAAAGCCATAAACATCAAAGAAAAGCTTGTTTCTTGAGTGAGGTCTTTGGGACAAATTATTGGCGCAATTTTTCAGACCAAAGTTAAGTTATAAATCAGTATTAAGTAACTGAAATTTTGGCAAATCACATTTGGTATAATGTAACTATGACTTGTGAAAACTTTCAATGTAACATGTCACACCAAATGCTGCTTTATCCTGTTTGTTCACAGAAGCTCCAAAAATCTAATAACACTGGAGGACATAAGATATTTTATATATTTACACCTTGATGGCTGTATTCTCAGTGTTTGAAACCAACATAGGCTACAAATTCACTTCTAGATAAACACGCATTTGCACATTCTGACTTTTATATTCGAACTTTATATGGCATATTCGGACTCAAAACACTAAAGTTACAGAAATTAAGCCATATAGGGAACACAGATTAAATCAAATCCACAATGGCATCACAAATCCACTAGAGGTCAGGACTTACTTCAGAATTAAACCGGAAAGACAGGAATCACGAGTAACATTTTTAGCGCACATGACCACTGAGTCATCACAGTTATGAAAATGACTCAGTGTGCCATGTCAATGTGATATAGCAGTATTACATGTGATTGCATGGATGCGGTCCATCCAGCACAAGGACAAAACAGCCCCGAATTCGTTGAAGGGACTCTAAGATTTGCGTTTTATTCGTTTCACTGCTTGGTACGGTTTATAGAGTGACGGACATAATATTCACTATGGCCACTGGTGCAGAGATAGATTAATGTCTCGACTGTCTTAGGACTAACCTATATTTCACCTTCAGACAACAAATTTCATCAGCTTGAACTTGTATAAACTCACACGTTTCCTCGTGACATTTCCCCTACACTACACACCCTGCATACTGTATACACAGTCCACTCTGATGCTATGCAGGTGTAAGACCATAAATGGCAGTGAATTTCTATCATGTGCTGTCTGTCTGCTCTCTATTTTCACTTGTCTTATGAACGTTAATATATTTGATTATTTTATATTTATATATTGTTTGTTTATGTATGAATGTGCACTTTCAGACCTTTTCAAAACAGTTTGGAAATGTTGAACAGCCGTATGCTTTAGGTAAATGCTTGTACTTTGACCGCAACTTTCATGCAAACTCTCTGTCACACCCTGCAAATCACCCTTAACCTGGCATCACATGTATAAAGAGTCATAGAGTAATTGACCGATTTCCAAGCAGGCTGATTGCTCAGTTTGTATATTCAAAGACTCCATAAACATACACATGCACACAACTCACTCCACTTTGGTCAAGGTTAAACAATGTAGCCATGTCACTGCAGCTGAACTACGTTGAGTATTGTGACATTAAGTCACTTAGGGACAAAGGCTGTCTGTCTTGTCTGTCGGTCTGTCTATCTATCTATCTGTATATCTATCTATCTATCATCTGTCTGTCTGTCAGTTTATCTACAGTTAGGTCCATATATATTTGGACACAGGCACAATTTTTTTTTATTTTAGCTGTTGACCAAAACATATTCAACTTGCCATTATATAATGAATACGGGCTTAAAGTGCACACTCTGAGCTTTAATTTGGGAGTATCATCAAAATTGGAGGAAAGGTTAAGGAATTGCAGCTCTTTAATATGTACCTCCCCCTTTTCAAGGGACTGTAAGCAATTAGACAATTGACTCAAAAGCTGTTTCATGGACAGATGTGGGATATTGCTTCGTTATTTCTACATCAATTAAGCAGGTAAAAGGTCTGGAGTTTCACATTGTGTCAATCACGTTTACACACTGCCTCCGAAACTTTCTTCCGTCATAAATCAGGTTCAATTTTCGGTGTTTTCGCGTCTGTAGCAAGCATTTGGATAGGAAAGGATGACGAATACGAAAATTTAAAAAACGAAAAAACGCATACGAAAATTTCGGACTCAGTGTGCAAGGACCTTTCGGCTTCAAAAACAAAACAAATCCATCAGCGAGACAGCAAGAACATTAGGAGTGGCCAAATCAACAGTTTGGTACATTTTGAGAAAAAAAGAATGCACTGGTGAGCTCAGCAACATAAAAAGGCCTGGACGTCCACGGAGGACAACAGTGGTGGATGATCAGAGCATCCTTTCCAACCATTATAAAGAAAACCCCTTTCACAACATCCAGCCAGGTGAGGAACACTCTTCAGGAGGTAGACGTGCCACTGTCAAAGTCTACAATCAAGAGAAGACTTCACCAGAGCAAATACAGAGGGTTCACCACAAGCTGCAAACAAGGCCAGACTAGACTCTGCCAAAAAAACATATAAAAAAGCCACAACACTTCTGAAAAAGCATTCTTGGAACAGCATGATCCAAAGCATACAACATCATCTGTGAAACATGGTGGGGCAATGTGATGGCATAAGAGTGCATGGCTTCCAGTGGCACTGGGTTACTGGTGTTTAGTGATGACGTGACAGAGGACAGAAGCAGCCAGATGAATTCTGAAGTGTATAGGGATATACTCTCTGCCAGGATTCAGCCAAATGGAGCAAAGTTGACTGGGCGACGCTTCATAGTACAAATGAACGATGACCCAAAACATACAGCAAAAGCAACCCAGGAGTTTTTGAAGGTAAAATGTGGAATATTTTCAGCAATGGCCAAGTCAACCTCCTGATATCAACCTGATTGAGCATGCATTTCACTTGCTGAAGACAAAACTAAAGGCAGAAAGACCCACAAACAAACAATAACTGACGTCAGCTGCAGTAAAGGCCTGGCAAATCATCAGAAAGGAAGAAACCCAGTCTTTGGTGATACCCATGAGTTCCAGACTTAAGGCAGTCATTGCCTGCAAAGCATTCTCAGCAAAATATTAAAAATGAACATTTTATTTATGATTATATTTATTTGTCCGATTACATTTGAGCCCCTGAAAATGAGGGGACTGTGTAGAAAAATGGTTGTAATTCCTAAGCATTTTATGTTATATTTTTGTTCAACCCCTTGAATTAAAGCTTAAAGTCTGCACTTTAATTTCATCTTATTTCATTTTAATTCTATTCTGTTGGCATACAGAGCCAAAATTATGAAAATTGTGTCAGTGTCCAAATATATATGGACATAACTGTATATATCTGTCTATCTATCGTCTGTCTGTCTGTCTAACTAGAGCTTAGTGGCAGGATATATGGGCAGCTTTAGTTTGAGCTGCTTGATTCAGTGCTTCAGGTTAGCATTCTGGTTGCCATTTGAAAGTGTCACGTACACAATTTGCATGCGACATGGTCAGTGTTTGTGCACACCTGTACCTGAACGTAGGCATGCACTCCTCTTTGAGTATGTGCACAACATGCTTGGCTGACGGTCCAGCATTGAGAGTAAGTTAATCCAGACGGGCGTCAGGGTCAGTCGGCAAAGTAATGAGATCTAAAGTGAACAGGGTCAAGAGCAGACAACAGTATGGCACATCCAGCCTAGTCACTTTCAAGATCAGTCTTTCAATGTTAACTACCTTCTTCATTGTTCAGTCATGATTTCTTACATTCGAATGAGAAATTATTTTATTATATGAGACGAAAATGGAGAAAGTGGCATAGGAGGATGTGACAAACTGGCATAGGATGCTGAATGGAATTACATATTTAGATATAACACAACCAGAAAACACAGACTGTGAGGTCTTTATTGTAAGGCTGAAACACTTGCCGCCAGCCAGTGGCATGACGTATGACATGTACTGTATAGGAAGTGATCTATTACTGTTTTCGTGGTGATTGGATTAGGTTTAACATTGAGTGTGCACGAGTTTCACAATTTGAGTTGAATTACTGAAATAAATGAACTTTTCCACGACATTCTAATTTATTGAGATGCACCTGTACAAGGGGGGGCATCTACTCTATGTGTCAGCTAAACTAGAGGACATGGATTGCCATGAAGCATCAGTATCTCTTAACACACTCATGTAGGTTGAAATAGGAAGTTTGAAATTCTTCATTTAAGGTTCAAAAGGTTATGTGTCCACTTGTGAAAGTAGGCACAAAAAGTGGCAACAGGAAGTTCCAAGAACTGTGCTCTCAACTTGTTGCAATACTTTGCAGAGATGTCTAGCATTCTTAGTCTGTCAGTTCAGCAACTCTGGACAAACACTAATTAAAACATGTTTAGGAAAAGATACACAGGAGCATCAGTTTTAACCCATGACTAATACTGGGATTTAAAACACTTTTGTAACATTAAAAGAGGTCCTGGTGATCTCATCCTGAACTTCTTTTATCTCGGTCTGGAAAGTACTGTCATTTGAAATGGTCTATTACTT